GTACTTTTGGGTTTTCGTACTATATGAACACTTCATCATCCACCACACTTTCCAAATCCCTAATGATCAAATTTAATTAACAAAAGCTTATGTGTATGTGGTGGAAACTTTGGCCAACGCCGTTCATTATACTCTCGCATAAGAAGTGGAAAAGGACACAAATGTGTTTATAATCGCTAGCGTAGGCATGTGGAAGGACATTGATTGTCTTCTTCTTAAGTGTACGGCCCTTTTTTTTGCAAATTTCACTTTGGTAAGTTTCTCACGTTTTTGTTAGTTCTACTGTAGCGGAGGAAGAGATCTGTAGTGATTTGGTGTGTTAGCCAGAATGGAGTTTATAAAAAGGTCTTCGAATTTTTGAACTTATGGCCGGTAAAGATTTGCAGCTGAATGCTGAATTTTTTATTTAAATATCTGCGAGATAGTGAAGAACTAGACTCTGGTTAGAAGTGGAGGTAGAAAGAAACGGGATGACTAGTGATAGTCGATATATGTAAATGATCTCTCTAGACCCGCCACATAACATTATAAAATACCTGAACATTATTTTTTTAGTCTACAATCAGAAAGGAGTCGTTCTAAGATCAGTATATTGCGGCCTTATGGAATGGCTTTTTTCTGAGAACAAGAAAGGAGTAATGTTGAATTTGAAGATCTTGTGCTTGCCTTCAAAAATTCGGCTCTGTTGTTAGTTTTGCCTGTGGCATGTAGTCAATTAGTTATATAAGCAACCACTTCTCCTAGGATGGCAATTCCTATGAAAAATAGTATTATTTCCTCTTTTCGTTCATGCCAAGAAATTTGTTCGCATGTTATCGATATGAAATGTGTGGCAACGAAATTTGTTCCAAAATTGCTGAATTTTTTAATAAAAACAGCGGCGAATGGAGGATGTTTAGTAGTTACTAAATGCAGTCAATGGCGATACGGAATTACTGGAGGTGATCAAAAATGGGTATACGGATGTGACATTGAACCAATATAAAAGTCAATCGTTTCAGTGGAAGCAGTCTGGCTCGCCAAGACTGGAAAAGGCTCGATAAGTGCGTTCAAACGTGAAGGTTACGATTACTGTGCTTTACGACTTTAAACATGGTACAACATAAATTCCGTGAAGCATTCCGAAAAAAGACCGGGTTTCTGGAAAAATAATTCACGTCGCTTGAGAACTGTTTTCACGATAGGAAAAAGCGCTGGTAGAAGTGCAAAATATCGATTGTAGACTCTTTGAGGGAGACAACCTTAATGTAGACCAATAAATAAATAATTTTATATCCTGAACAGGGTATATTAAGTTTGGCACGAAGTTTGCAACACCCAGAAGGAAGCTTCGGAGACCCTAAAATATTATATAAATGATCAGTATATTGAGTGAGACGATTTAGCCATGTCCATCTGTCTGTCTGTCTGTATAAATGAAGTAGTCCCTCAGTTTTTAGGATATCGTTTTGAAATTTTGCAAACGTCATTTTCTCTTCAAGAAGCTGCTCATTTGTCGGAATTGTCGATATCGGACCACTATAACATATAGCTGCCATACAAACTGAACGATCGCAACCAAATTTTTGCATGGGAAACTTCCTCATTTAACGATATATCTTCACGAACTTTTATCAAAAGAAATTGTTTAGATCGGTTAACTATAACACATAGCTGCCATACAAACTGAACATATGGTTTCTAAAAGAAATCCACTTGTGAAAGCCATATTAGCTTCGGTGCAACCAAAGTTTTTTCAAAAAACGAAAGTTCCCTCAATTTTTGAGTTGGACTTTGTATAAAAACAACTCAACTCAAACAGGCTGATATGTACATATGTATGTATGATTCAAAGTCTCCCTGGGAAGCAAAATGAAGGGAGAACTCCATCGTTGAGGAGAACCTTTATAGGATTACAATTCAATGGTAAACGAACGACACGAAAACGACAGGTGGAATTGGGGCTGGCATAGTGGGACCATGTACCAAATTGTCAGTGCACATGAGCAGGTTTCCAAGCAGTTTTCAAACTGGAGTTTGTGCTGTAAGCAAATGTGTGGATCTTATTCTAGAAAACACTATATTCCAGAACGAATGGTTATCTTCAGTGACAGCAAAGCGGCACTTGAAGCTGTCTCGTCAATTGCAATCGAACAACATTGGTACTGGAATACATAAAAATGCTTAACAGAGCTGCCACTGAAAGCACTATCCCACTAGCATGGACCCTTGGGCATAGAGGTATCAAAAGAAATTAGTAATCCGATCTTCTGGCGAAAGAGGCTGCGGCAAACAGTCCGATAGGACCGGTGTCGTTCTTCGCTAAGGGCCCAAACAATTTAAGAGAGAAGCTATGGATGAACGAGAAGGCCAGAAAAAATGTCACTGGCAACAAGTGTCTATGCTTTGACAGGCGAGGATGTGTTTGTTCGATATAGAAGATTTATGAAACTAAGCGCCCTTTCCAGATGCAAGTTAAGGCAGCTTGAGGGATTTTATACAGATCACTACCGGCTGCGGTTTCAGCTGCACAGATTAGGATACTTTTCCCCGGATCTGTGTCACCTATTTAACCAGCATGGACACCAAAGCATATATTTCTGAAGTACAGTCGCAAGAAGAAGAAGTCAGACGGCGCGCAATTAATTATAGGAGCTTTAGTAAGCCTCTTCGATTTGAGAGGGTTAAATGAAGTATGTATTGTGATAGCAAGAGAGGGTCAATAGATCTATTTATGGCACGTTTAGCATACAGCTTTCATACAAATTGAATGATGAAAATCCAGTCCTTGACTAGATATCTTCGGGAAATTTGCCTGGATTATTGTCCATGGCTACGGTTTAATCTCCGAAGAAATCCTTCAATTCGAACTTCTGTAACTGACATACGAGTGCGAACTGACCAATCAGGTCATTGCATGGAACTTGTTTTTGGGGGGTTTAATAGCTTAGAAGGGTCTTATTTTTTGAATAACGTTACCCAAACCCGGTATAAAAATATATCCAAATCGCCAAGTACTTTGCATCATATAATAGTAATAGTGAGTGACACTTCAAATTCTATTTTGTTTTGAAAGTGATATTGAACTATTTTTTGTATAAACTTCCGGTTTGTATTAAACTCCCTGCACTCTTTGGATCAGACATCCACTGTTGCAACTCATTCGATTGACTAACAATTTTAAACGCCCACATTTTATGAAACACGTAATCATGCAAATTTCCCTGGCATCCCGGAAATATGCAAATCCGTCGAGTTAATGTGTCTGAGCTGAGGTATGAAAAGAGGGAAGGTATTAAGTAGCTCATGTTTACTGCGTTTTAGCATTATTTAACAGATTCCCTTCAGAGCTACATACACACATGCATATACATATAATACAGTAACGACAGGCCTCAAGGCTGCAAATAAAGTGCGCAAGAGAGCAGGTAGTTAGCTGACGCGTGGTAGAAGGTTGAAGTATTTGCATAAGTGTAGCCGCAAGTGTTTAGCGTGAAAATGAGTTTATTTTGCAGATTGACAAGCAGACCCCATTCAAAGCCGGTCAAAATTAATAAATAAATGTAACCGCTTTTTAGAGTATTTACCTGTGGTGGTGCGGAGTGTCGCCACGAGGGCAATTAGCATTTTCGAAGCACAAAACAAGAATGTGCATATTTTCAATTGTCTATTGGTTTTTCAAGAATTTTTACAATGGAAATTCACAAAGACTCGACACAAGCGCACTGTGCTAAACTGAAGCGTATACACATACATATGTATATCTCTGAGGCACTCAACTGGTTTGCTTTATTAGTAGGGATAATAATTGATTTGTTCTGCTTGAAACACAAAAACATACATTTGTTTCTGTTCAAGTACTTTGTTGCATATGTCAACGTCAATTTTGGAATTTTATTTCGATAATCCTCCAACATTTGCTCAACATCTGCGTGCGAAATATTTCCAAAGCGTGTCAAGCAATTTCTCACTATTTAATAAACTTAAAATTAGTTAGAACAAGTAGGGAAGCGTAAAGTTCGGGTACGACCTAAATTTTTAATCTTCGAAATATATACACATTTTCTTGCGAAAATCTGGATCTGTGGCCATTCCGTTTAGGGCCTATAAAATGAATGTGTGAAAGTGAGTATACAAGGTGCGTTCCAAAGTAAGTAGGACTTTTTGAATCTAGCGCCACTGGTCGCGCTGGTAGCTTTATCGGTTGTCCTGCGAAAATTTCATGGCATTTCATTGGAATTGGAAATGAACATTTGGCCTTACGAAAGGCGTGTACACGGTTTGTTTCGCACAAATTGACTGACGACCAAATATTGCTCAGAATCCAACATTCGAAGGACATTATTGCGACCGATTATTTGACCAAAAATCACATTTCAACCATTAGTTACTAGTCCTGGTATTCACTTAATATTACTAGTCCTGGTATTCACTTAATATGGTACCGTGCGACTTCTAACTTTTCGAAAAAATGCATTTTCCTATTTAAGAAAAGCGTTATGCAGACGTAGAAGCCATTCAAAAGGTTTGCACCGGCATACTGGCGGCCATACCAAAAGCAAAGAGCTGTATTGAAGCAGAAGGTGACTATTTTGAATAAAATAAATTAAAATAATAATAAATTAAGATAATAAATAAATAAACCCTTCACGTTAATGAAAGGAGTATATTAATTTCTTAATTTCATTAGCGTAGTGAAAAGGCTGTAGCACACACACGGTGATCTACATTTATGACATACAATTTTCGAAAAAACCGTATACCGTAACCTAGCTGAAAGCATAAACCAATTTTTTACATGTTTGGAAGTTCTACCATAGCCCTGGGGTGGTCACAAAAAATTTCGAAAAATATTGTTATTAATATTTTCAATACGATCCTTCATAACATATTTTTTTTCTCTTAAAAGACCATATCAAGTTTGCTTATATTAAGTTCGATTATGCGTGAAAATGTACTTTTTGATTTGATATTACTCAATTCAAAAATCTTTTGTAAAAAATATAAACAATATTCTTAAACAAATTCATTTAAACTTCTCCAAAGCTTCAAAACAAATTTCGCAAAATGGAAAAAATTCAAACTCACTTGGTCAGAAATTATCCGCAATTTTAGTTTCCAATCAGCTACCGCAAGGTCGTCGGCATCAGCGCAAGTAAATTTTTTTCTTAAAATAGACTATGCTTGTCGTAAAAAATGTCTTTCGAAGGCAAACGGAGCCTCTTGATGTTCTAAGGAGGCAAACGGAGCAGAGATGGAGGAAAATGTAAATAATTTTAAACGAATAATAATACATTAAAATCTCATAATATTTACATATTAAAACCTTAAGTGAACTTCTCATCTGTCAAAGCATATGTTGTTTATTAACTGAATTTTCCACTCTCTCTAATTTGCTCATATGCGGAATATACGAACTAATAATTCATATAATTTCACGGCTAAGTATCACATGCGCAACATATTTATTAACTCTATGAAAATCGCTTAGGTAAATTCCCGCACACGAAAAACCGTAGCATACTCAGGTAAGGCTAGCGAAGTGCCGATTTGTCGCTGAAAAATATAAAAACGCACCCGAGTGGCATAGTCCGTTTAGTCATGAATCTATCAGCAAGTTGACATCGTAACCGATGTAAACAAAATTTAATTATATTCATAGGTTGGTGAAAAATAAAGTGAAAATACTTACAAAAATACGTTTCTAATATGAAAAGTGCAAAAATAAATAAATGTTGCACATAAATAAGATTTGAAATAAGGAAACTGTCAAGGAAATTGTAAGTGCGCACAAGTACACAATCAATTACAGCGCCATCTAGCGCGTAAATTATCGCGTCGAAAAAGAGTTTTGGCGTCATTTGTTCTAATTAGGCAGCACTGAAGCACTAAAGTGACATATAATTTAAAAGAAAAAAGTTCTTCAATTGAAACGCTTGTTATGGAAGACGATTTTCAAATCGAATACATGTCGCTGCCACTTGAAGATCTTCAGGATCACTATGGAAAACTGTTTGAACGTTATCGCCAAATGCGCGATGATGCGGAGGCCGACACACAGCGTATCCATGAGATGAAGCGCAATCTGGAGACAGCTTATGCTGCCGAAAATTACCTTTCGCAGGAGATCGAGGAGCTTATGCGAACGCTTGCCTCGATTGAAAAGGAGAGTAAAGGAAAAACTAAAGTAGAAACGGAGCTGGAAGATTTGCGTAGACAACATCATACTTTATCTACAGACTACAGCACATTGCAGCAAGACTACGTGGCGTTGAGTGCAGAAAATGCCGAAATGCGTAAACAGTTAGAAACGGTAAAATCAGCAAAAAGGCTAAGTACGGCGTCGATAGTAGATGCTGGAACAGAAGAGCTCACCCAACGTATAGCATCGCTGGAAGGTGAAAATTTTTCTTTAATGAAAAAATTGGAAGAGTTTCAGGAAAGTATGGTGCGGCAAACAATGGCGTTAGCGGAAAGAGAGGTAAAACCTATCACCATCCCTTTAATAATTATAAATTAAAGTTTTATTTTGTGTACATATTTCTTATAGAGTAATATAGAAGTTTTACGTGATCAAGTAACTTGTTTGGAGGAGAATTTACGTTCGAAGCGTGAAGATTTAGATGAAAAGACAGTTTTGCTTGAGAGTACCCAAGAACATTTAGCCGATGCAAATGCGAGATTGGCGATGTTAGAAACAAAGCCAGAGAGTGTTGGTAAGTACTTTTATAATTATTTACTATTAATTATTGTTTTAATGATGAATTTTGATTATTTGAAAACTGCTTACAGATCGCAAAGGCAACTCGCTCTTCGCTGAAGTGGACGACCAACGACAAGCAATGAAAAAACTGCTGGCTGCCCAAAAGAAAAGCTATATTGATATGAAGAAAATCTGTCATGACAGTCAGTCTGAAATAAGACGATTAAAGCGAGAAAATATTGCAATGCATACAGAACTTAAGGAGTGTAGTTCAATATTTTGCTCAGCCGACCGTACATATCAAGGTACTTAATATGAGTTATTGAAATATTATACACATTATAAAATCAGACATAATTGAACATCATCCTTTGCAGACAAACTAAATGAGCGCATACGCCAACTACTCGGTCAAGTGGAAGGCTTAGAGAAGCAATTAAATGTGTCTCAGAGTCGACTACGCGACTTGGCCAACGATAAGGGTGTTGCGTGGCTTGATTCGATGCTGAATTTCTGCAAGTACGCATTACCCGTAGAAGTTGTAAATTGTGTAACACATTTCACAAGTGAAATGTGGAAAAAGTTTCGTTATAGTCGTGCGTTTTGTATAGTGCAAATGGGCATAGCATTTAATTAGATAGTTCATTTTCATATTAAATTTCGTCACCTTCATCATTTATTTGGAAAAAAATAATCGTCTGTAAATATAGGGTGTTTTTTGTGCTTAGAATATATACGAACTAACTTTACGCTACAGTTAAGGATTATGTGTGTTTCACACAAATATATTTACTCCCGCCCATTCATTTAGGCAAGAAACTGATGAACTCAAGAAACAACTTCATGGTGTGCGAATAAAAAAAGCCAGTTTGGAAGAGCAGCTACGCAACGTTCAACAGGAGATGATAAGGTATTTTAATACAGCTATTTCACTCCATAATGCGAAAGTAATATTTATTTTTTTTTTTGTTATCTTCAGATGGCGCTTCGAAGCATTAAAAACGCGTTGTGTACTGCTCGACAGAGAGGATCTTTTGACTGAACACCGCATTGAGTTCAAAGCTATACGTGCAATAGAGTTTAATATAACCCAGAAAGAGCAGGAGACTGCACGACCCCGTATTGTGCACGCATCACCTGTCACACCCACGGAAAGGAAACCACAAATACCTAGCACACCATTACGTTCCATTAAAAATGAGAATTCATCAGCAATATGTAACACACCTCCTGAAAATATTTCAGTGAAACAAGAAGTTGATGGTGAAAGTGGCGACAGCACACCGGTATCATTCAAATCAAAAGTTGAGTTTAAAGAAAACGTTGGTACACCACAAACACAGCCGCGTTCAACTACTATTCCATTGAAGTCAGAGCTTAGTTCTGATAAATATTTGCGCGAGAGCAATATGCAGAGCAATTCTTTAGCAAACGAATTGCAGATGGCACTAACAAAGAACTTCAAAAGGGAACCCCCTGGACTTGATGCTCAACCGGGTCCTTCCATTCTATCAAAGCAAAGTCATGCTTTAATCACTGAAGATAATTGCGAGAAGAATGTGCAGTTCAGTGCAGCGGGTCCAACTGTACACGAAATAAGTGCGAATGTCAGTATTGGCTTAGATGTCACTAATGACGGTAGTAATAAAGAAGGGCAGCAAAAAGCCTTTATTAAGGAGGTGCGCAAGAAACCAAATATTATAGTTCGTCATGTGGTGGTGCCGTCCAAACGTAGGCCAACGTAAAATAAGAAAAGTTTTGTACTTTTAGTGCTGCTTGTGTTAATGGGTACAAAAGCAAGTGCGTAAAGTAATTGTCTTGAGATGGAAAGTGAACTGAATTTCTTTACTCTTGCTGGTTTAGTTTTTTGAAATAATTATAACGATTTTCAAAACTTTATGTAATGATTGAGAAATAATTTGCATATATTGCATTCCAGTATTTTACCGTAATTTGTAGATTTTTCACTTTTTAAAACTAAAAAAATGGGTTAACACTCTCGCTTTTTTATATAAATATTCAGCGATGGAGGTGAAAAATTCTTAAATTACATTTCTTAGATGTATGCGAAATCTTAAGGTAGTTACTTTATGTTCTAAAATCTGTGCATATAATTTATATAAATAAAAATCTAACAATTTCTATCCACTATATATGTTATAAATATATATATATATTATCTATATGGATGCTTATCCTCTGAAAAAATTTTAAAATGAGAAAGATTCTTTTTATTTAATACTAATCGAGGCTTTATAGTAATTCAAAGCAACTTTAAATTGAGGACCAACGATTATAGCACCTGCATCTTGCCACTACGCAGGGTTCTGCAAAGCATTCCTCAAACTGTTAATGTTGATGATAACTATTATGCTTTTTGCCAGACCAACACAAGCGATGGTGATGTCCGGCCGATCAATTCAAACTGTGTTAAATCTCCGAAAAATCTAACCCCATTATGCAATGAGACCCCGTATAACGGCCGATTGACAGTCACAGATCTTACTGGCTTCGTTGGAATATCGTTTTTGTTGAAACGGCGTCGCGTTAACGTCTGTGGAACAATGCTGTCCGACTGCCAGTATGTCATGAGACATTATGGTGATGAATTTTGGATCTATGGTTACGATCCCGAAATAGATGATCTATCGTACGAATATGGTGCAGGGGTGATACGAAGCCAAAAAAAATCACGTCACAGCAGGCAAACAATCAAGGTTATGTTCACAGTTTTCTTCGATTATCGTGGTGTTGCGCACTACGAATTCCTACCGACCTAGCAAACTGTCAACAAGGAATGCTATTTAAGTGTTATGCGTCATTTGCGTGATACTATTTGTACGAAAAGGCCGGAATTATGAACCGACACCGATTTTTTATTACATACCATCTATGAAAATTCTATAAAGCCTTACTTGAAAAGGCGAATATCTCGAGAAGTATTAATGACAGTGGTTTTGAACTCGGATCTTTTTTGTAGCAAATAAAATTTCCTACAAGTTTGTCATGTACATTTTTTCTATATCTCTTGTAATTTACGAGATTATACAAAAAAATGCGAATTTCGTGCAAAAGTCAGGTTTAGAGCCCCGCACAACCTCGACGGCGTGAGTTTCGACTTTGTCGCAATGGGCACTTTTGTAGAGGGTTCCATTCTGAGGAATATGTGTCTCAAAGTCAAAGGCATGCCATAAAATGCGTCTGAGCTATAGAAATTTAAAGATAAAAAATCACAATTGTCCTGCGTTTTCAATGCAAATTTTTACATGCCTTGGTCCAGTCCTTAATGTTCACATTAAGGGCTAAAATTTTCAGGGAATGTTTTTTAAGGTATTTCCAAGGAAATTGTATAATGGGATAGAATAAAATGAATAGTTCAAAAAACAACAAAAAAAAAAAAAAAAAAAAAAAAACACCCTAATATACAAATATCTACTTTGACTAATTTTAGTTGTTACAAACAACCGTTAGATGGAAAAACTGTTACTCTGTACCAACTTAACTTTTCTTCCTCAAATAAGTCACATTCATGCATCTACAGTGGTGTGTGTGCATTTTTGGATAACAGCGGGCCAGTACGCAGCACTCTTTGGAGAAATGTCATTGACTTCTGGCATAACCCGACTTAATATTAATGGCTGTAGTGAGTTTATATGTAGTAATGGCTCACTGAGTCTCAACCAAATTCGCACAATGCGTCCAGCATTACAACAACCATCCCAATAAGCACGTTAGTACCATCTCAAGTTGAGGAGTAATTTGACAGACCGCACAGCTAGGCGCTGATGAAGTACTTAAATATAACGGCTTTTAAGGAGGGTCTCATTGCTTTTCAAATTTGAAATTCTATTACAAGCATAACGGTTCATAATGGAATTTCTTATTTGTTTTCAAACCCTATGTTTGTGGTGAAAATCAATCTGAGAGCGGATAACTTACAGGTAACAAGCAGATGGTCCACTAAGTCCTTCTTTCGCAATTCGTGATATTGTTGCAAGTAGTATTTTAGAAAACGGAAATTTTCAAATAATGCATGACGCTG